CGGCATGGCGCTCGGTGCAGGCTCCGGCGTGATGAAGGAGCTCTCTGTTCCTGCCCCTGCCTCGCTACTGGGCTTCGACTTTCCCCCATAAAAAAAAACACGATTCCCTGCTGAGCTGCAAACTGTGCAAGAGAACAAAATCCTGATTGAAATGCCCCCCCCCCCAACCTACCACCCACCAACTGCGGGCGATCGATGTGATGCGCTGTTGCGTCCCTCGTTCGGCTTCAAAAGACTCTCTCCTTGCCACTCGGCTGTTTTTTCCCCAGCATGTCGCCCAACTCGCACCTTGGCTTCACCTACCTATACGCACAAGCAGGCTGCACGGGCACCCCCCCATGACCTCCGACCCTTGACCTCCCCTCCCCCATGACCTCCGACCCTTGACCCCTTTACCTGAGGTAGTCGTTCCTGCACAGGATCATCCCGCTCTTGCTGTAGCAGGACGTGCCGATCTCGCCCAGCTGGGCCTGGCAGCAGGAGCACTTCAGGCAGCGGGTGTGCCAGTAGTGGTCCATGGAGTACAAGAGGAAGCGGTCCGCGATCCGGCCGCCGCAGCCGGCGCACGAGCGGGGAGGGGAGCCGCCCCCCGCCACCGCCACCGCCTCCGACCGGCTGTTCACCATGGCAGGGGCTGGGGGAGCAAGCAGAGACAGGGTGGAGGAAAAAAAAATTAAAAATCAAGCAAGGTGGCAACCAGCAGGGGGCGCTCACGATCAAACTACCATGTGGGTTTCAGATCGCGTAGACCGACAAATCGGGAGCAAGCACACACACACACACAAGCGTGCCCGACGACGACAAAACGTCTTTATACTCCAAAGCCAACTCCAGAGGGGCAGAATCCAGCTACATCCCGGGATAAAGGTTCCTCCTGATCGGATCTTTGCTTCCGGCACGTTCTAGATTCTCCAGCATCTGGGAGACTCGCCGCCCCACCGCTCTGTATTAAACACTATTCTTGGTCCTTTCCGACGCTGACGATCATGCGGGGAACAAAGCCGGCAGACGGCACAGACAGAACCTTTGTCTTTAAGGGGTGCCAGCTTTGGGTCTGAAATCAACAGCGACCGGCCCAGAAAGTTTTAAAAACAGAGGCCCAGTGCAGAGCAAGTCGATAATCCTCACACTGGAACTCGGGGTTCACATGAACCCCTTTAGGCCTTGCTCCCAGATGAGGGCTAAGCAACAATAAGTCAAGGCTCTTGACCCACAACTGGAAGGTTGCAGGTTCGAATCCCATGTGGTGCAATCCTGTTGTACTCTCTTGTTGTACCAAGTACTTCAAAACTCGGATCACTTCACTTCGTACAACAGGGCGTTTGATTGACGTTTCTTTGGAGAAAAGAGGAAGCAAGATATTAACCCCATGGAAAGCACATTCTAGAATAGTCTTGTTAGATCTCCTATTGTCTTAATAATTAACAATAAACAAGCATGATATTAAAACATAGCTTGACACTAAAGTCTGACCCCTCCATGGAGGATGCAGATAGCTGCAAACTGTGGTCAATTAACACGTTCCCCAAACGAGCCTCTTCTGTATCACAGCTACCCTAGTTGACCCCCCCCACCCTTCCCAACCCCTGGCAGCAGTCTAACCAACCACCCGAGCCAATCCAAGAGAACGTTTGACACCCCAAGATTAACGAGGTTTAGTTGCTGGGGGGGCCCGGCCACCGCAGTCAGACGCGCGCCCCATCTCGGCGACGCGTCAAAGCTGAAGAGCTCGGCTGAGGACG